CCCACCTTGCTGCAGTGCACACAGGACCCTAAGCACACCCACCTTGCCTTGCGGGGCCTCTCAGCTGTCAGTCTCCAGACGTTTTGCCTTCGATGAACTTGACCATCTTGACAATTTCAAAGCATGCTGTGGTTCTTGTAAAATTCCCCTTTTTAGAGTTTGTTTTCCTGATTCTGCTGGGAGAAGGTCATGGAAGTTATCTGCCCTGTAAATCACATTGTGCAAAGGCCCATGTCTCCATGAGCTGGCTGTCTGGTTGAGGCACTGTCTCCCCATGTAACGTTACCCTTCTCTTTTCTACACCATGCTCTTAGATGACAGTCACACAAAGCCCAGACTTGAGGTGTACAGAATCATGCTCCGTCTGATCCGTGACAAAACTTCTCTCTAGGTTATTTGAAATTCTTTTGCACAGAAACTGTGCCTCTTGGTTGTTTTTGTTTAATTTTGTATTGATTTAGAATTGTGAATATTTGCCATGTATTTTGACTTGTAACCTGGGGCTACCACACATTGCCTCATGATTTTGCTAGCTTTCACCATTGAGAGCACTTTCACACGGGTCCTGTGCCATTTAGGACCCTTCATCACTGTGCAAATTTTGTTTTTGTTTGGGCCTTTATTGCTCATTTTGGTTGACTTTAGTGCGTCCTGAAGTGCAAGCCTTTCCAGGCCCCTCTTGTCTATTACGTACAATCCTAGTTCTACAGACAGCTGTTTCCCTGGGACAGGGTATCTTTCATTAACAATGGAATTAGAAGCTGATATCTTGGCACCAAGCGCTAGTTGAGTCTCTTGGCTGATAGAGGAAGGAAATATGTATCCTGTATTTGTCTCTTAGGTATACATATATATATATATATATATATATACATATACATATACAGATTTCCATATATATCATCCATATCTCTTTATAAAAGATTTACTTATGGGCCATGGTGAAATCTGGGTCTTAGCTGTTGCCCAGGGTCATGTCTGGGTCTGTGACCCTGCTGGACCTGGGTCTGTGATGATGTCCAAGGCCCATGTTAGCACAGGGGATCACTGGGAGCCATGCTGAGCCGGCCCTACCCTTCACTGGTCCTGGGACAGTTGACCCTGCTCCTCACTGGATACTGCAGCTGGAGAGCTGGACCCACGTCTCATGGAAGAGCCTCCCCCCCATACACACCTGGGAGAGATGGTTTTACCCCTTACCTCAGGTGTGTACCCTGTCTGGGCAGCACACTAGAGCTGAGCCTGTTGCTGCGAGGCCCAGGTGAGTCAGCCCTGAGGGCATGAGAGCAGGAAAGCTGACCTCACCCCTCCCTTGTATGTCCCCTACAGCAACCAGGAGAGAGGGCCCTGCACTGGGCAAACAGTAGAACTGGCCCTGGGGGTTTAAATGTGAGTGAGCTGGATCTGAAAACCTGAGAACAGGAGCACTGGCCCTGGCTCCTTGCTGCAGGCTGCACTGGGTGAGCTGGCTGAGGCAGTGCTGGAGAGCTCACCTGGGTAGTGACCATGAGGGAAATCTGGCGGGCTGACCAAGCCAGTTAGCACCCAGGCCTAGAACCAGCGCTTTGAGTTGGTCCATCCTAACATCCACCTCGACTATGAACCGTTAGAACACGTGAAAGGGGCGAACCTGTTATTGGTGGTGTAGCAGAAACCAAAGACCTCAAGCCAGACCAATGGCTCTGGCAATCAACACTTACAAGTAAAGAAGAATGGACTAAAGGGTAAACTGTGCAACTCCATGGGCCACACTACAGCTTCCATGATGAGAGTCTTTTCCTTTTTTTGTTTTGTTTTGTTTGCTTGCTATGTTTGGTCTTTGATTTTTCTTCTGTTTGGTTTTGTTTAGGGGGAAGTTGCAAGGATGAAGGAAGGTTGCAAAAGGATGGGAAATGAGCTGTGTAGGAATGCATGCTATGAAATCCATAAAGAGTCAATTAATATTAAAAAAAATTTAAAAAAGATTTATTTATTTGTGTTTGTGTCAGTGAGAGTGTATGTGTATATGTGGGGGCACATGATGCAAATTGTGGGGGCCAGAAGAAGGCATCAGTTGTCTTTCTCTGGCACACTCTGTTGTCTTGAGGAGACTCTGGTATGGGATGTCCTTCTGTATATGTGTTGTTTTATTGGTTGATGAATAAAGCTATTTTGGCCAATGGCCTAGCAGAGTGAAGTCAGACAGGAAATCCAAACAGAGATAAAGAAAGAGAGTTGGCAGAGTCAGGGAGATGCCATGTAGCTGCCAAAGGAGAAGGACATGCTGGAACCTTTCTGGTAGGCCACAGTCTTGTGGCAATACACAGATTGTTAGAAATGGGTTAATCCAAGATATAAGAACTAGCTAGAATATGCTAGAGTCATTGGTCAAGCACTGTTTTAATTAATATAGTTTCTGCGTGATTATTCAAGTCTGGGCAGTCAGGAAATGAATGAGCAGTCTCCTACTACAAAATGGCACCCATACGTTGGAGGCTAACCCGCATGGCCAGCCACACACTTTGGGTCTGTGTGCTTGTATGCCCACTCGGGTTTAGGAGGAAAGTAACTGAGAGTATGCCTACCACTCAGCACCCTCACCTGGGAAAGCAGCTGGTTTGGGTCGGCTAGGCACACAAAGGCAAGAAAGCATGACCGATTCCCACCTCCATACATGGAGACATGTCCAGGCCACATAACATGCTGCATGGAAGATTTAGCTTTTACTCA